CCAGATCCACCTGCGATCCCCACGAGCTCATTCCCTTCCGTGCCTCAGCAGCGGCGGGGCCTGAATCGCGGGAAGCAGATGGCTGCCCCCCTTTCCTCGAAAAGAGAGACAAACGAGAGCGGAGCTTTTCATTAAAATACGCTCGCAATGGACGCGGATTTCCCCCTCAAGGACATCGCGTGCGTGCTCTTTGCCCAAATAAACAACGCAGAGATCTTGTGTGTCATCAGGTGTCAAATAACGACGACGCGGATGCACACACCCTCTAAACGCTTTGCTAGTGCTCGCCATAATGATAGGAATATAGATCGCTCTTACCACGGAAATGCACGCTTCAAACAAAACGGTCAGTGAAGACGAAGAAGAGAATGACATGTTCTCCCGGCGCCTATTTATACTATAATCGCACCAGTAGTGATGTCGTGGGCTGTCGCCGGCCAACGTGTTGTTGGTGTTTTTTCAATGTATGCTTCAGCCACGGGTCACGACGAGGCGTTCCCCATAGCGACCCCTAGAGGACGCAGTTCGAAGTTCCCTTGAAAGGGAATCAGAAATAAACATTTAAAATGTTGAATAAAAATGAAAATATTAATACTTTTTTAAAGGGTACTTCTTTAAAGCACGAAAAAAGATTATTAAAACATTGTGATGTTTAAAATGTACATTGATGTGTACCTAAGTGTGAGACAGTCATGAAAGTGTACTTCCTTTAAGTGCATTTAAGGGCTGTTATTTATTATTACATTAACTGCATGTAGATTATATATAAATATGTTAACATGAAGTCTCAAGTGCTATTTATGTCAAATGCTGTCTAATGGCCTCCAATAAGTGAATGTTATTGTTTTCAGAATGAGTGTGCCTCACATTTTTTGTTACCAACAAAATTTAGATTTTAGTAAATGCCTCTTCTGCGTGAAAATGTGTGAAACAATCTTCAACTTAGCGACACTGTGAACTAGCCTGTTAAAATGCACATCCGTCACCCGTCACAGGCCTGACATTATCTTGAGAGGTTGTACAGTTCTTAACAGCTCCTGCTCAACACATAATAGATGCATGCTTGAGTAAGCAAGTTGAAAGATATATATCAGAATTATGTCAGTTTTTAAATGTATTCTTTTGAATTCAAGCCCTAAAACCAACCAACAATAGAGTGGTTACAAGTCATGTTACTGACACTATACTATATTTGCATATTTTTAACACATATCTTGTTAAACTGGATGAATATGCATGTCTTCGACTCATTTGTTAGCTTTTGTTTCTGGGCAGATGGAGGTATGCCAGGGGTACATCTTTGTTTAGCACACAGATTTGGCGTTAAATACTATGCTGTTTAATTTTGAGGGCCAGTGCTCTGCTGGAGTTTTGAGGGTTGCTCTTAAGCTGTCAAAACAGTTGCTGCTAACAAGAAGTGAAGTCAAGTGCAGAGCCGAAGGGTGCGTCTGAGACGATTAGGGCCATGACGATGAAGTGAAATTAGATAAAAGCTGCTTTGAGTGACGGGTAGGTGTGGTTAATAGCTACTGCAATGCATTAAGCCCAATTTGGCCATCCGTGTTATTCTACCTAAAAATGACAAGAATTATGATGTTCAGTGCCTGGAGCTATTGTGCTAAACTTGATGTTGAGGTTAAAAATGGAAAGTCATCAAATTAAGGTTATTGCTGTTAACTAACAAAATAAATTATATAGAGCACATTTTGCAAGGAAATACTGTTTCAGACATTCTACTTGAATATTCATAATTCTTGTCTTACATTTTTCAGATGACACACTGAGCCGGCCGGACCTGCTGAACGTGGCTGCATCGTTGAGAGACAACTCAGCTTTCTTCCAATCTGAGGTCATGCGTCCTGCCAATGACCCCAAAGAGAGAGATCCCGCCCACGTACGCATGCTCAACGACGTCTTACGAGACCTGGAAAAAAGCTTTCTTATCCCAAACCCACCTCTCGGCTTTTACAGGTAACTGTTGGCTTACAAGATCGCAAGCGTGGAACATGAACGACGGTTTAAAGAATCCATACATTTTCACAACATGAAATCTTCCATGCAAAGCATGATGTATCATATAAGTTTCAGAGGAAGTGAAACAAGGTGAAACATTTGGTGGATATACTTTGATATACCTGACAACAGAGCGTTATTAATTATTGAGTGTTTGGGGTGAGTGAAAGCTGAAAAAGTTTCTTGTGAGAATAGATAAAGAGAGTGGTATGTGCAAAGCCTGCAAACTTTTTGTCAAATGACTTTACAGAAAACAAAAAAGTAGCTGATATTGTTCAAGACCTTTTTTTCAGAGGGCTGACTATCCTACTTTTTCCCCACACAGGTTTATCAAGAAGTTTGTGTCTTTAAAGACTTCAAGCATCTTGTAGAATGCAAAATATTATATAAGCTTCATCTTCAAAAGCTTTTGAAAAGTGTTTGCATTCAGACAAGGAACCAAAAATGAGCTGTTAAGTTTGACAGTATTTCCACTTCTCATAGGATAGTCACATTCATGTTGAAATTCATGATGAAATGGATGGATTTGGTATACTTTTAAATACAGTTTGATATATTGATGAACAAGTAATCAACTGTTCCAGTTATTATTTCCCTCAAAATCTGCTATTTTGTACTTGATATGACAGCTAATTTTAGAATTAAGAACAAAGGCTCTATGCTATTGAGTGCTATGTTGCATCGTCAGTTGGACTAAGCAACTGCAGCGTCTTGCTTTGAAAACTGTGGCATGTTGAGCTGCATGCTGAATCAGCATGCACCTGGCAGAGCGGTGGACTGTTTATCTGAAATAACCGACTTAAAGGAAAAGTTTACTAAAAAATAAAAGTTGTTTGGATGAACTATTCCAAAAGGAACCTGCTTGTGTTTTCGTTGGGGAGTGAATGATGACATCACTTCCCCATGGTCTGCTGGGGCAGATGCTGCTGAGAGACATGCAATTTGCATCTCTGTCAAATTTTGTTACCCCAGACATAAGTGTCGGAAACACTGCCTCATCTTGAAAATGAAATGTTAAATAAATAATAAAAATAAATACACAAGTAAAATAAAATTGCCTGCTTCCTCTCAGAGACGCTGTAATATTATGCTACAGTGTAGAAACGCTCATTTCGTAGTATGACAATTATATTGCATTTGTAAAAAGCTGTACTGGCTCTTTATTTTATATTCGTATGGTACAGATACAGTTTATAAAGAATTGCCTCCAGGCTCATAAAAAATGAATGATCGTAAAGATTATTAGTTGTTCATTGTGAAATACCATAATTAGCACAAGATTATAGTAGAAGTCTATAGGAATTTATTAGCCTGTATAGTCCCATGATACCCCTAAGGGGGATTTGTGGGTCGATGGACTGAAGTAACCATCATTTAGCCATTGTGCAGATGTCATCAGCTTCTGCCGTCACAGACAGCAACACTGGGATTGCATGATTCAACAATGCAGGTCAATAAATCAAGAATATTTATATATATATACAGTGGGTACGGAAAGTATTCAAATGGCTGCAATATAACAAAGAGTGAAAAATTAAAGGGGGTCTGAATACTTTCCGTACCCACTGTATATATATATATATATATACAAAAGCATCTAAGTGTCTTTCATTAAATCCAATGTTCCTGGTTGTTCATCAGCCATGATTAGGTGCTTGAAAATGCAAAGAGGAGTGAACAAAGGGTCAAGCACAATGCAGGCCTGCATTACGGAGTTAATGGTTTCTTGCGACCTTCTCAGTGGAGGAGATCTGGATCTCAAAACCACAGGACTTTGGCCAGAATTATGTGGTAAAACACTACTGCTGGTACACACACACACATCATCTCGCAGGGAATAGAAGTAAATCCCTCAGTTGACTGTGATTCACTCCTCAGCTCAGCAGAATAAAATGCTGATCTTCGGCCAGTGTCCTCAAACTCTCCTTCTCAGAATTCCACTCACCACGGCACATGTGCTGTTGGCGATGTGACAATAAAAGCGATTTGATTTGATTCAACAGGGATTTACCGATGTGCCTCTGTTGTTGATAAGGAACTGTGTTGCAGCTTGATCCATAATGGAGTGGCCGGAGATCCATAATGGACGTTCTCATTATTTCTCCTTTTTGTGTTTGGGTGAATGCTTGTTTGATCTTCCATCGATCTTCAAGGTCCACGACACACCCTGGGTGCTGCATTTCTGCTTTGACTTTTTTTTTTGACGCCGCTGTCGCCGTCTGTTGGTTTTGCTAATCTAGACTGAAGGAGGGCCCTGTTATTATCAAAGCGACATGCAATTGTAATCAGCGGCAATCAGTGTGTCCTGGAGTGGTTTTTATTAAATTAACAGAAGAGGAAGCAAACGGAAGAAGTGCGGGGAGACTCGTCAGGGTACCTGCTCATTATCTCTCTTTGGGTTCTGGCCTGTGAGAATTAACACCATCTCGCTGATCTTCACTGTTTCACCCCCTGTGTTTTATACACTTGTCTCTCTGTTTATTAATCAGTTTTAACCAGTGAATTGAAATGTAGACTGGAAAAAGATGTTTTGCTTTTTACGATATAGGCAATCCCAGTTCCCCCAAAATTACCATTTTGTTGACATATACACACTCTCATGTCATTGCAAACCCTATGACTTACTTTCTTATGTGGAACACAAAAGGAGACGTTTAGCAGCATGTTCATGCTGTTCTTTTCCATATAACGAGTGCATGGTGAATAAGGGCTGTCAAGCTTCAGTATAATATACAGTAACAAAAAACACCCTTACAGTATCATAAAAGTGACCCATATGACTATATTCCACAGACTGGAAAAAGATGTTTTGCTTTTTACGATATAGGCAATCCCAGTTCCCCCAAAATTAAAATTGTATTGACATATACACACTCTCATGTCATTGCAAACCCTATGACTTACTTTCTTATGTGGAACACAAAAGGAGACGTTTAGCAGCATGTTCATGCTGTTCTTTTCCATATAACGAGTGCATGGTGAATAAGGGCTGTCAAGCTTCAGTATAATATACAGTAACAAAAAAACACCCTCACAGTATCATAAAAGTGACCCATATGACTATATTCCACAGACTGGAAAAAGATGTTTTGCTTTTTACAATATAGGCAATCCCAGTTCCCCCAAAATTACAATTTTATTGACATATACACACTCTCATGTCATTGCAAACCCTATGACTTACTTTCTTATGTGGAACACAAAAGGAGACGTTTAGCAGCATGTTCATGCTGTTCTTTTCCATATAACGAGTGCATGGTGAATAAGGGCTGTCAAGCTTCAGTATAATATACAGTAACAAAAAACACCCTCACAGTATCATAAAAGTGACCCATATGACTATATTCCACATCTTCTGAAATCATATGATAGCTTTTATATTACAGTAAGTAATAGTAAGTACCAATAAGTACATATCACTGCAGATTCCAACAGAAATGAACTCTAGAGGCATAAAACAGCGAGCACCTGTAATCGTTTCCGTACACAGTTATGATTACAGCTCCATGTTTCGCTTTCCGGACTTAACAAGCTTGCTCGGTAGCTCAGCTAGCATGGAATTGGACTTAGGATGTGGAATCCTTGGGTACGAATCCAGTGTAAAACATGACTCACGATGAAAGAGCTAAAATATAAAATATACGTCATATTTACGTTCATCTATTCTGGGGAAAAAAACGTATAGCGCCACTTAGCGTGGACATTTCACATTGAATAAGTCACGAAATGTACATGATGCTACGTATTTCGAATCTCGCAAAAAAGTTCCCACAGGTACATTTTCGTCAAGGTGTGACATCCTTTTTATGACTTCAGTCCCAAAAATAAATTCATATGGGTTTGAAATGCCATACGAGTAAATAAATCATAAACAAAAATGTCACTTTTGTCTTTTGTCAACTTTTTGTTGTGTCATTATTGAACACGCTTGTCAAACGTAACTGTTCCTTCGGTGTCAGGCTGCAGGTAAGAGTTTGACCTCACTAGCACTCACAGACACTCTAGAGGGTTTGTTCCTACAGATAAAACAAACGCCAATATGCAGTAGATATGGAAAAGATAGTATCTGGACCCACGCAGGGGACTCCGCTGTGTACGCTAAACTCGATTTGTAGCTGCTGTGCAGGTAAACTCTTTCTCCATTAAAAACAAAGTATATGGTGTTACCAGGGAGCCCAGATCAATATCTCAAAGATTTTATGGAGAGTTATATAAGAAGACCTCTAGCAAAAGTTGCTGTAAAAACGACATGACTGAAATTGTAAAAAAAGGGACAAGACTTGGAAAATGAACAACCTGCACTACTTGTCATTGTGGGTCAGTAGTTTAATTGGTCTTATGTTGCATCTAAAGATCTGGATTGTGGAACTTGTGCTTTTGGCAAAGGTGTTTTAACTTTGTAATGTAATGTTGAAAACCTGTAAACCTGGTAACTTTAATGTCTGTTCAAAGAAGGGAGGTGATGGACAATAACTCGCAGCTCTTCACACAGAACAGTATTCCATCGCTTAGCATATATGTGGAAATAGCAATACTTTTTATGGGAATAATATACATTAAAATAATATACTTAAAGGGATAGTTCAGTCATCATTTATTCATCCTCATGTTGTTCCAAACCTGTATGAGTTTCTTTCTATTGTTGAACACAAAAGAAGATATTTGGAAGAATGTGTTTAAGCACACAGTTGACGTAGCCATCGACTTCCATAGGGAAAAAATACTAGTCTGACTACCGTCAACTGTTTGATTACCAACATTCTTCAAAATATAATATTTTGTGTTCAACAGAAGAATCTCCTACAGGTTTGGAACAACGTGAGGGTTGAGAAAATGACAGAATTTTCATTTTTTGTTGAACTATACCCTTAAATGCAAACTTAAAGTAATGTTTTTGGACCCTTAACTGTATGTTTAACAGCAATTAAATAAAAACGAACTATAGTTTAGATTATAAT